CAAGCCGCGGAGAGAAAGCGCTTGTGCGCCTGGCCAGTACCCGACGCGGGAGTGGGGGCGCCGGCGCCGACTTCAAGTTCGACCAGGCGCCGCGCGGCCAGGAGCAACGCGAAGAAGTTGGGGGGGCGCTGAGGGCGGCCCGCTCCTCGCGAAGGTCTCGAGAAGGGCGGGGGTGCCGAAGCGCGCTCATCAGTCTTCAAGTTGCAGTTGCCGTAGAACGCACCGCCACCAGCGGTGAGTTTCAGTTCCTGTGGCGTGTGCCACCATAGAGCGAGTTCATGTTCGTCGGGGGCGACTTCCTGCTCGCCGAGAGCGACAGCATGCTCGTCGAGAGCGACTTCGCGTTTGCCGAGAGCGACCCCGCGTTCGTCTTCGCGCCCCCCTGAGTTCGCGATGGCGCGTTAGCCCGTGGGCGCCCCCATTCCGGGAGCACCTCGGGTTCAACGTCGCCTGTCGTGGGCGCTGGGTCGCGGGGGCCCGAGGGTGCCCCGACGCTGGGGAACGCCGGGCCCCTCGCCGCCAGGTCGCGGCGCTAGATCGCGGAGGCCAGAGGGGCCCCGGCAGCGGGGGGCGCCTTGGGCCCCCCGTCGCGAAATGGACGCCCGGAGATGGGCAGGGGCACCATGCGCTTTGAGAGCGGCCCGCTGCGCGCAGGCGGATTGCCCGAGAGGGATTTCTGCGTCGAGGGGCTGAGCAAGCCCTTGGATATTCAGGGCGCGCATGTCGCCCAGTCGCGGGGGCCCAGGCCGGAGAGCGCGCTGGCCCGCAAAGCAGCTCGCGAGGCGCGCGCCATGCGCCTGCAGGAAGTGCGATTGCAAACGGCTCAGCGCGGTGGGCCTTCAGCGTGGCCCAAAATAACGGATGGCGGATGACCGCGGGCGCCCCGCCGCCAATAGGCATTGCGATAGGCAGGGTGGCGCGGAGACCGACCCCTGGGCGCGCCCGCGCGCTGCGCGGGCCCCCCCGCTGGCGCGCGGGCGTCGGAGTGAAGGCGGGAGCTTTCGCCCCAGCACGCGGGCCAGCCAGTGCGTCCTCGAGCGCGAGTTGACGGAGCGCTGGCGCGGTCAGACGGGCCGGGGGCGCGGGCGGCCTTCGGGGGCTCCAACTTGCGCGAAGTGCACGATCGCTGCCTCTACGAGGGGGCGGGCGCCGCCCGGGGCGGCGGCGCCTGCCGCGGCCAGAGGGGCGAAGCCTGCGCGAGCGGCGGCGAAAGGAGCGGCGCTGCAGCGCCTCGCGGCCCAATTCCTGGATGGCATTCCCTGCCGCGGCCTCGCTGAGTTCCGCGCGCAGATGAGTCGGCCCGAGGGCGGGCGCCGGGCCCGAGAGAACGACCGCGCACATCCGATACGAGATCGCCATGCCATTGCCGGTGGAGGTGGAAGCAATCGAAGAGGAGGCGAACGAGAAGATTCCCCGCGAGCGCCGCGAGCGGGGGCCGTTGGGGCGTTGGCAAGGCTGGCGCGCGAGGGCTGCGCTTGCTTGCGAGCTGGCGGCGTCGGCGGGGCATGCTGCGGCGCCCGGCAAAGCGCGCGGAAAGAAAGGCCCCTCGCCGTCGTCGCGCAGGGCGGCGACGAGGCCAGGGCCGCGAGAGGGCAAACCCATCGCGTCGGCAATCGGCAGGGCTCGAGAGGCTGGGGAGAGGGGTGAACCCGCGCATAACTGGAGGGGAAGGCTTTGGACCGGTGCGCGCAGGAGTGCGAGAACGCGGCCCTGGGCCACGAAGTCGCGGTGCTTCTCGCCGCGGGAGGGGGCTCATAGCGCCGCGGCCGCGGGCGCCGCGGCGATCGAGGCGCAGAAACGGCAGACAATGTCAAGTTGGAAGAAGCTCCTCTACCAAATTTCACGCGAGAGACGTGGAAGGTGGCCTCGCCCGTCAGACGCCCGACGAGCGATTGCGCGGCCTTCGCGGCGGAGGACGCGGCGAACGACTGGAGGCAGATCCGGGTCCCAGGCGCGTCCGACGGGGCCGCCTGTGCTGCCCAGCGGAGGTGCCGCGCGGAGCAGATGGGGGCGCCCCCCTCTTGCCCGCCGGCAACGTGGGCGAGGGCTGGCTGCCGATCGTCGCTGACTTGCCATCGGCCACTCGTGGGGGAACGGGCGCGGCGGGCTTCAATGGCTGGGCGGCGAAGGAGCGCAAGTGCCTGGATGCGAACATCGAGTTTCTGGTTCGTGAGCTGCAAGCGTCGTGGGTGGATGCGGCGATCTTTCCACGCGACGCCGGGTGCGGCGCGCTGCGCGAGGGCAGTTTCAAGCGTGGCCGAGGAGCGCGCGACTTGCAAAGTTGCGGTTTGGATGGGGGGTTGTGGGCGCAGCGAAGAAGGGCCCAACCCAGAGCAGATTTATCGGAGTCGCGAGCTGTCTACTTCGCAGTTGGCTTACGGCGCGCGAGCTGGCGCCGCCAGCGCCGGAAAGGGGCCCAGTTCGCGCGCCGCGAGGACGCGCGCGCGGCGCGCGCGTGCGCGGCCTGGCAGGCGGCGCGCGCGGAAGGCCAGCGCGGCGCGGAGAGGGGCCTGTCTAAGTTCAGCGACGTGGTCCCGCGCGAGGCGGCCTTGCAGGCCTTGGGGCGCGCGAGCGGGCCCAAGTGCATCAGAGCTACCGCGCGCGCGGCGTGGGCGGGGCCGAGGAGGTGCCGATTTGCAGGGCGGCGGGCAATGAGCTGCTTTGGCCAGAGAGATCTCGCACCCAGGGGGGCTCGGGCGCGCCGAAGATATTGCGCGAGGCGCTGAGTCAGCGGGGCGCCCATGGCGCGCCATTCCTTTTCATGCGTGACCGCGGCGCGGATGCGACGTCCAAAGGGGGGGGGGGGGGGCAGGAGGTGGCCGTCGCGGTGACCAGCGTCTTCGATGAGGCGACGGGGGCCAGGGGGAACGTGGACAAGAGGCAAGTACGGTTTCGAGGAGAAGGGTGAGCTATCGAGCACGCGGGTATCCAAGCTGCTCCAGATCGACTTGCAATTGGTCTGACACCGCCTGCGGGATGGAAGAAGCTGGGGGCCGTCATCTGCGCGGCGGGTTGGTGTGTGTGTGTGTGTGTGCGTGTGTGCGTGTGTGCGTGTGTGCGTGTGTGTGTGTGTGTGTGTGTGTGTGTGCGTGTGTGTGTGTGTGTGTGTGCGTGTGCGCGGGGGGGGGGGGGGGGCTGCCGGGCCCCGCTGCCGCGCGGGCTCGCGCGATCGGTGCTTATGCCGAGCCTGCGTGGACGTGGCGCGCCCCGATTGTCGCGCGCGCTCGTGCCTAAGACCATCCCGGCCGTGCTCATGCCGGCGATCTTGAGGGCGAGGTGCAGTTGCGCCGTGGGCGTTTCTGGCGAGCGAGTTGGTCTCTCCATCCAGTGCATTCAGCAGCTCTCACAAGTGCGAAGAGAGCGGAGATTGGAGCCTGATGCAGCCCCTGCGCTTGGAGGCGGATGTCAAGTGGTTGTTTGACGCCGCCGGACTGCGGCACCTGGAGCACGACGAGCTACGCGGCGCACGTTTTCGGGTCGATATTGAGGAGGGGGGCCCGCGAGCATGGTTATTATTCTGGCAGCTTGTATCTTTCCGGGGCGATGAAGGCGACCGAGTCGAGCACGTCTTGCGCGCGCCGCATCGATTTCGAGCATTGGTTTTGGACGGGCCGCGGCAGGGCGACTGGGCTGGCATCTGAGGTGGGCGTTGAGACCTGGCCCCAAGTGCCGCGGCAGACGTTCCGACAGGAGTTGGCGCCAGGAGGAGCTTCTTTAATGCTTGTGTTTTTGCGCGGGGCCATTTCCACGCCCGCTCGCGCCGAGGCTGGGCGAGCCACCGGGCCTTTTCGTCGACTGCGGGGGGCGATGGCGGCCGAGCGTCCGTCGCTGTGTTGGGACGTGCGCTGCGCGCAGTGGGCTTCGCCAACGTTGAATCGAGCTTACTCTATTGGTGAAAGCTGGAGTGCCCTACGGCCTAATGTGACATTGAGTTCGGGGTGGGCCGCGTTCTCGGCTCGTCGACAAGCTATTCGCTGCGCAGAATTGATGGTGACCGCGTGCCGCATGGGTCTGGGGGGGCACTCAGCAAGTATATCGACGTGTTGAGCGGCGTGTTATCCATCCATCTCGTTTGGTTTCTGATCGTTTTCTTTCCGCGTGCTCGGCGCGCGCATCCGGGTTCAAACTTGCGATCGGTTGCGCATGCAGTACAGCAACATCACCGTCTGCAAGATCAAGGGACATGCGACAGCTGTTGACATCCAGCCTGGACGAACCACGGCACGCCAACGATGCGATAATGCCAAGGCCGATGAGGGCGCCACGAGTGCTGCTGCTTTTGCACGTGCCAGTGATGCTGCAGTCGCTCAGTTGAAAGCTCGCCACAAAGTCCTCAAGGTTTCGGGCTCTTGGGTTGGGCGTCTAGGGGCGGAGCTAGCTGACTGTGGGCAGCCAAACAAACGCGCCCGTAGGAAACTCCCCCTTGACTCAGCTCGCTTCCGTTCGCGATCCCACTCCCAGCGACGTGGCGAGTAGGGTTTTGGCCGCGCAGGCTACTTTGGGAGCGGGTTCCAAGTTGCATGCCCTCTTCAAGCTACAGGACGGTCCGCCCGTGATTGGATACGTTCGCTGTGTTTGTTTCGCCGCCGTTCGGGTCACCCGTGCTTGCCCCAAGGCTTTGATTGGGTTCGGAAGGTACTCCAAAGGTTGGCGAGCACGCGTGGTTTTCGTTTCGGTGGCAAAATCGACCGGGTTCTCTTTCAGGATCGGATATGATCATGTTTTTTTTTTGCGTGGGGAAGGGCGTATGCAAGGTGCGCCCTTAAATTCGTTGCTCTTCGACGGCTGGAATGCTACAGACCCTGTAGCGCTTCAGGTTGTGCCGAGCAGGAGGAGGAGGAGGAACAGGAACAGGAATAGGAACATGAGGAGGAGGAGGAGGAGGAATCTGGGGGACGAGGAGGACGCGGAGGACGAGGAGGAGGAAGAGGAAGAGTGGAGTGGTTGAGGCGGAGCTGCAGGAGGCGCGCAGCAGGAGGCGCGCCCGCTGCCCCCACAAGGGCCCGCCTCCTCGTGGCCTGGCGGCGATGGCGCCCCGCCCTGGAGCCCGTCGGGCAGGAGACGCCCGCCTTCTCCGGAACGTAGCCAGCGGTCGGGGCGCGGGCGGCGGAGGCGACGATTGGGCCGAGCACATATTTAGCCCCGGAAGCGACAAGACAATTTTTTCCGATTCCGTTTGCCGTTTTTGTTGCCAGTTCCGTTGCCGTTTTTTTGCTGGTTCCGTCGCTGTTGTCATTCCGTGTTTTTTTCTTTTTCCAATCCCAGAGCCGTTTTGGTTACCGTTTCTGATCGCCGTTTTTTGTTTTGTTTCCCCCCCTTTTGTTTTCAAGAGGCACGTTTAAGAAAACGGTGGAACAACGACCCTGCCGTTTCCGGGGCCCACTAAGGGCGATCAGCCCAGGGCCCCTGGCTGACATCGGCGAAGCCGTGGACAATCGGCGCCGCTGGATATCTGCAGCCCTCTCTGGGCTATTCGCCCTTACTGCCACCTCTGAGGTCGGGGCGCTCGCTTCATGGTCGCGGGTTGCTCAAGGTGCCCCTGGCGCAAGAATGTGCACCCGGCTCGGCTCTCCATTTTGGAGCCCTTGGGGCCCTGTGGGCCTCGTAAGGGGTACTCTGGAGGCCGTGGGGGATCGGGTACTTCCAGCAACACCCGAGATTACACGCATTCGCTGGGGAGCCTCGCCGAAGCCATGGACCATCGGCGCCCCTGGATACCTGTACCCCCCTTGGGCTATTTGCCCCTTTCGTCGCCTCTGAGGTCCCAGACGTGCTCGCGTCGCGAAAAAATCTCGACGGGATGCTCATGGCCGTCTTCGGTTTGTGGAGGCCCTCGCCGGGTCCTAGGACCGTCAAGAAACGATTCGGGATGAAACACCGGCGCTGGGGAGGGGGTCGGTACTTCAGGGGAACCCGTTTCTCCAGGCCTCCCAAATGGTGTCGGAGCATCGCGCCGCATCGCCGATGCATCGGCGATGCGGCTCGATGGAGAGCCCGATGTTCTTCAAATCGACGGTGCCGATGCATGACCGACGTCGCCGATGCAGCGATCCTCCGACCCCATCTACTTCGGGGTTTTCGAACAAAACGCCCAGGTACAACAACTAAAAGAGTGTGCAAGAGAACACCCGCGCCCCCGACTTCAATGTTCCTCATAGGGAGCAGGCCGCAGTGTGCAAATGTGGGCGTTTTTTCCCCAACGAGGCGCACTCTCCAGCGTCGACCACCCCGAACTTTGCGCTTGGGGCAGGGGGGGTTGGACCCGCTTCAACACGCATTAGGCCACATTAGAGATGGGCGTCTTTTTCGAAAACCGCAGTTTGACCCCACTTAGGAGGTCTCCAGTTTCGAAAAGACAGGACATAACATGTCTGGGTAACGTGCTTCAGCGCCAACGGGCCGTGCCAGAGCGCCGGCGTCTGCAGGATCCTGCGGAGCCAGTTCTCTGAGCTGGGTCTGGCGGCCCGCGGCCCTGGAGGTGGCCTTGCATGCTGCATGTTGGCCGAGCCGGGTTTGGGGAAGCCCCCCACAAGCTGCAGCACGTTTTTTCCTAGAAAGGGCTGAGCCAGGTTTTTGCGGATCCGGGTTAGTCCACGTCTCAGGGGCGTTCGCTGGAGTGCCTTCGGTTGCGTTTGGTCTGTTGCGGGAGGATGGATTGTATGGATCTGACCATGGTGTAGTGATGTCCTAAAGTATTCGCGTGCTCTGAACTCGCGAAGCAGCGGGACGGCAGATGAAAGCGCGCGCATGCGCTGGAAGACAAACTCCACGAAGTGCCACCGCTGAATATTCACGGCGCATCCCGTGAAAACAGACACCACCGGAATCACACGTGGTAAACATTTTTGGAATGGAAGAGGGTGGAGGTGGAGGAGGAGAAGGTAGGGAAAGTCGAACGACGAAGAAACATCGGCATGAACATACAACACTCTGTCGAAGGTCCGCCTGGCTTTCTCGGATCTGCGCTGGGCCCCCCTGTTGGCGCCTCTGGCGCCGCCCCTGGTCCAGCTCAGATCCAAGCGCTCATCGATATGTTTTCGAACGGCGGTTTTCGCGTGCTCATCGCTTCGTGCAGCGCGCAAAAAGCGCGCGAGCGCGCCGGCGGCGCTCGCGCGCGCGGGAAGAGCTTTGTATACTCGCAATGGAGAGGTCATCGCTTGGAAGATCTCAGTCAACTCATTGCATGCGCGGAGTGGATTTAGAGCATTTGGCGCCCCCCCTTGCTTCCCAGAGATACCAGCTAGCACCTCCGCCCCTCCGCGCGCGCGGCAGGAGCCGGGCGGCCCCGCAGGGCCCTGGCGGCGCGGCTCGGGCCCGCTCTGTGCCTCTTGGCCGCGGGGCGCGCGTCGCAGCGCGCCGCGGCGCGTGCCTTCGTGCCCGCGCCGTCGGCCGGGCCCGCAGGATGGCGGGGGCAACGGGGGGAATCGAGGCTCGAGGATTTCCCTCTTTCTCGTTCTCGTGCTGCTCCTCGTCCTTCTCGTGCTGTCTTTCTCTTTCATTTCCTTCCCCTTCTCGTCCTCCTCCTCGTCCTCCTCGCCCTTTCCCTCGCATGCTCGCACTGCATTGGTTTTCCGCTTTCAAGAAGAACGGACTTTTCCCATACCCCGAGCGGTCGAATTTCAGGGTCGCTCTGGGGAGACGGGCGCCAGAGCGAGAGGGCCCCGAGCTGTTTCGCCGCCTCTGGGCCTTCCTGGCCCCCCAGGCTGCCAGCTGTCAACAAGACGGACCAGGGCGAGATGTTGTTGCCGTTGACGGCCCCTCGGGATCCAGAGGAAGGCAGCGGACTGGAGGAGGACTCGGCCCGTCTCGTGGAAGCCCACGGCCTTTCTTGCGGAAGCCCCGTCCTCATCCAGTCCTTTGGGACACCCTTTTTAGGAACGCTCGGGGGGGCGCTCTGTTGAGAGCGCTCGGGGGGAGGGGGTCGTTCGGGTTGCCTCCTTAGTCTCTTCCCCTCTATGCTGCGGCTGTCTTTCCGCACTGCGCGACAAACTCTGGGTAGAGTCGTATCTGCCTTCTCCTTCGCGCAAGACGCCATCCGCAGGCACCCTGGGAGGCAGTGGGAGGGCGCCGATGCTCGTGCAGGAGAGCGGCGGCGGAGCGCCGCCTCCTGCTGCAGCAGTCTTCGGGCGCGCGCGGGTCCGGGAGGTGTCGCGGAGTCGGCCTCCTTCGGGAGGAAAAACAACGGCACAAGGGCCACCAGGGGTGCCACCTCCAGCGAGGAGGTCCACGATGCTTCCCCGAGCTCAGGATAGGGTGATGTCTCGAGCGCGGAGGGGCGACCACACCACCAGGAAGACCCCGCCTGGCTCCTCGCGCTGGTGGTGGCGCTGTCGTGATTCCCCGCTCCAATCTTTCAGCTGTGGCGGCACTGGGCCATCATGGTCGCGACAACCCCTCGAGACCGTGGAACAAGCTCCGCGGGGGACGGGGTGGATGGGGCAGCGTCCTCCCCGACGGGGCGGGCGAGGAGGGTATTCGTTTCGGTAGCTGTCTGGCATCGTGAGCCAAGGGCCGCCTCGAGGGCGGGAAGTTATTCGTGGTTCGCGGCTCGCGATTCGCGATTCTTCTTCCTCATCCCCCTTCTCCTCTTCTCCCTGGGGGCGGTGACGCGAGAGCGCCACGTTATTCGCACTCTCGCGCTTCACGCAGCGCGAAGCGCGAGCACAGCTGTCCTTGCAGAGCGTTCGTTGGTGGGACTTGTGTCGCCAGGGCAGCCGGTCCGACGGACCGCACAACGAGAGGTCGCATTCCCAACACATGTACAGTCAACCCGCACAGTAAGGATGGACAAATTTCCCAAGAGTACCCTTGCACCCTTGCCTACTCGGTCCATGCTTGGTCACTTGCTTTAGCCAACCTCGTTCGAAACACGTTCAGCCAGGACCATCCCCAATGCATTGGCGCCACCTTCCCCGCCCAACTCGAGCCCACCAGCCCCACCCACGCGGCCACAGTACGACGGAAGGGGAGTGCCCCGTTCCCTTGACGTTCGGAAGGGTTGTCCTTCTCATCGTTCCGTTCCGTCCCCCGTCTCCTTCATTTTTCACCGGTGTCCAACTTTCATGCACGAAATCCATTCCAAACGAAAAGGGGGTTGCTTTGACTGCATATGTGGCGCTGCCGCGCGCAGAGGGGTTCGCTGGTCGCGCGTTGCATATTCTTGGTCCCGTAGTAGTTGACCGTCGTGTTTTGTCAGGTTTTCGCGTTGCCTGACATGTCTGTTGTAGCCCCTGGCAGTGAACAGCGTAATTCCCGTGCAAGTGCACAGCGAGTTCTGCCCGAATACGACTCCACTCCTGCACGAGCACGACCTTGCGATTGCACGAACACGAAGTTATCCAGCTGCCTGGGGCAAGTCTCGCCACCGTGCCAACCCAACATGCTCTGCGGCTTTCCTTCGAGGGTGGACTGCAGGCCGCTCTTGCGAGGGATGTACATCATGATGACGAGCTTGATGATGCTAATGATGGTGATGATGACGACGATTGATGATGATGAGGATGAGGATGAGGATGAGGATGAGGATGAGGATGAGGATGAGGATGAGGATGAGGATGAGGATGATTATAATGATGATGATGCTGATGCTGATGCTGATGCTGATGCTGCTGATGATAATGATGATGCTGAAGGCGGGGATGATGCTGAAGGCGCTGATGATGATAATGATGATGAAGATGAAGCTGATGACTATGATGATGATGATGATGATGATGATGATGATGGTGGTGGTGGTGGTGATGATGATGATGATTATGCTGATGATGATTATGGTGATGATGATTATGATAATGATGCTGGTGATTATGATGGTGCAGGTGATGACGAAACTTATGCTGGTGATGGTGTTGATGAGGATGATGATGCTGGTGATGGTGATGGTGGTGGTGATACTGATGATGATGATGATGATGATCATCATCATCATACTGGCGATGATGCTGATGCTGCTGCTGATGACGATGATGCTGATGAGAGTATGATGATGATGATGCTGCTGCTGATGATGCTGCTGCTGATGATGATGATGATGATGGTGCTGATGATGCTGCTGATGATGATGATGCTGCTGATGATGATGATGATGATGATGATGACGATGATGATGATGATGATGATGATGATGATCACTGTTGCTATTCTGTATATATATATGTATATATATATGTATATATATGTGTATATATATACATATGTATATATATATATACATATGTATATGTATATATACATATATATATATATATATATATGTCTTGGGGGACGAGGACCGGGGGCCCGGGACCGCGACCTCGAGCGCGCATGGGGGTACCGGGGCTTCTGGGGCGCCCCCGGGACGCAGGCGTCGGAGGCCGCCAAACATATCAAGAGGGCGTCGGAGGCCGCCAAACATATCAAGAGGGCGCACAAGCCTCGAAATGTAGCTTGAAGACGCCGACGATGGCTCCAAGAGGGCTCCCGGGAGCCCCCGAGACAGCCAAAGAGGACCCCAAGAGCCTTCCCAAGAGGGCCCCAAGAGGCAAAAGTGGTCCCGCTCCCTCCGGAAAACGTACATTTTTGAGGGATTCGCCCCTTGACCTTCCAGGGGAACGAAGACGGCCCGAGAGGCCGCCAGGATCGCCCCGAGAACACCCAAGAGGGTTCCAAGACAGCCCCAAAGGGCCCCTGGCTAGCCCAAGAGGCCCCCAAGACGGCCCAAGAGGGACCCAGGACGGCCCCAAGCAGGGGCCCAGAGAGGATGCCCTACGAACTTTTCAACCCCTCCGCCGGTAGAGGTCCCAAGGAGGCCCCAAGAGGCCCCCAAAACGCCTCCAAGAAGCTCCCTAGAGGCCCCCCAACAGCCCCCTGACCAGACGCCCTCAGGTACTCTTCCCGCTCCCGAAGCTTCTGGACCACTCTTCGCTTCCTGAGGCCCGAAACGGGGCCCAGGACCGTCAAGCATTTACGACGAAACACCGGGCCCATGGAAGCTCTTCGTACTTCGGGCCTATTCCAGGGACCCCGCGTTGAACAAGTCACGCTAGCGAATCTCTTTTTGACAAGAGGCCCCCGAAGGCGCTCCGAAGAGACCCCAAGAAGCATCCCTGAGAACTCTGACCCACAACCCTGGCATAGTGGTTGGATGTGCTGAAGGCCATTCGGTCCATATACATATACATGCGTACATGCATCCATACTTAGATAGATAGATACATACAGACAGACAGACAGACAGACAGACAGAGACAGACAGACAGACATACATACATACATACTGCTACATACATACCGATCTACGAGGCGCCCAAGATCGCCCAAGAGGGCCCCAAGACGGCCCCAAGAGGGGCTCAAGAGGAGGAACACGAACCGACAATTCGAGCCTTCCGCCCCAAAAGGCTTCCAGGAGACCCCAAGAGGCCCCCAACAGAGCCCAAGAGGCCCCACAGAGGCCCCCTAGATGCCCCACGAGGCCCCAAAGAGGCTTCAAAGAGGCCCCAAAAGAGGCCCCAAGGGCAACCCAAACGGCCCTCAAAAAACCTCCCAAACATACCGGTGCATAGCAAAGGACCGCCTAGGGTCCTGGACGGCGTCAGAGGCCGTTCAGGTCGCTCCAAGACGGCCGAAGAGGCTCCCAAGAAAGCCCAGAGACGGCCCAGGAGGCGCCCCAGATAGTTCAAGAGGGCCTCGACAGCGCCCCAAGAGAGCCCCAAGAGCGACCCAAGAGGGCCCGAAGAGCGCGACATTTCAAAGTCTCCGGCCTGAGAGGCTCCTAGGACGCCCCCTGAGGCCGTCATGGCTCCCAAGAAGCCTTGTGAGGCTCCCAAGAGGTCCCTTGGAAGCCCCAATAGGCCCCCAAACAGCTCCCAGGGAAGCCCCCTGCAGGCCCCCAAGACACCTTGGTACGTCGCATTTCCAAGACAGCTTTCGGGGAACATGATTCCTTGGGCTCCCGCCCACCGCCCCAACCATGTTTCCAATAGGCTTGCCGACGAGGCCAAACAGGGGCCCTTCTTAGGAGAGCCGAACAAATCATGCTCCCGCAGAACTTCCCGGGATATTCCGTTGCCTACGTTTTTCGTTTCTGATTCGCCGTGCACTCCCATCTCAATAGCCCTTTTTCTGGTTCAGGCTGGGCCCAAAGTGTATGGCCTGGTTGACCAGCGTGCTTCAGGGCGCCTCCTCCGTCACCAGTTCGGTCGTCGCCGGCGCCATAGGCGGGCTGGCCGCGGGTGGGCGTTGTGACTGTCACTGTGAGGTGGCCGCCGCCCCGGACCAGGGCCTCTTCCAGTTGCTGCAGCGGCAACTGGACCGCTGCGGTCCCGAGCAGCTCCACGGGCAGGTGTGCCCCGCCCTGCCGCTCCCGACGGTGGCCACCCTGGTCTTCGTCGGTGTGGAGCTCTTCTTCGCGGGCGTCGTCTTCGGCGCGTGCCTCTTGATCTTCTCTCGACATGCAGGATGGCTGGCGCCCAGGCGAAGCGGAGCCAGAGTGGTTCTCGCGACTCCAGTGGGGGGCTCGAGTCCTGGTGCGGTTCGAGGGGTACCCGCGGTGTCACGGGCAGCCGTTGGGCGCCCGCTTGGGGCCATCACGCTGGGTGGAAACGACGCCTAGCGGCGCCATCCGCGACGAGGACCCCATGGAGAGCGACGCGGCCCCTCGCGTGGGCCCGTTGGGCGGCCTCAAGGCGGGCATGGCGAACGCCGAGGTCTTCCGGTTCGGCTACCTCACGACCCAGGAGAAGTGCGAGCTGCTCGAGGCCCGCGAGGACCTCGTCCGCGACAGCGAGGGCGCCCGCGACATCGAGGCCGACGCTGGCCAGGTCCTCGTGGCGCAGCACGTGCGTCCTCCTCGTGGCGGCGCTGGCCTTGGCGTTGCGCCCGCCCCCATCGCGCCAGGCCCTTCCGCTGCAGCCCTCCCAGGGGCTCCCGCTGGCCAGGCCTGGGTGGCCGCCGAGTCCCGCCGCGGCTCCTCCCGCGGCCAGGCGGACGACCTCGCGGTGTGCCAGCTGCTGGCCTCAGGGGATCGCGGCGTGCTCACGGTGCCTGACGCGTGGCCCCTCTTCGCGGCCGGGGCGGGGTCTCTCTCATTTGGAGCTGGCGAGGGCGACCTGCGCACTCCTCCCATGCGCTTTGACAGGAGCAACCCCCGCTTCCATGGGTGCGGCGACGCGGTGGTCTGCTTCTCGGAGACCGTGCAGGCTGGCTGGCCCGTCGCGGGTACTCGGACGTGCAAGTGGCTCCTCCACGCGATCCACGACGCAGGCTGGACTCCCGCACACTGCCTCCTCGGGTGGCGCAACCTGCAGCAGGTCTCGCACAGCGACGCTGGTGTTGAGAAGCACGCCTACATGTCAGAGGCGCTGGAGAGGGCCGGCGTCTTCGACCAGCTCAACTGCCCCGAGCTGGAGACGTTCGAGGTCCTCTCGATGCGCTACCAGCTCTCAGCAGAGCTCTCCGCACCGGAGAGCGCCATCCTCACGGAGAAGCGCAGGGGGAGGGGGGAGAAGCGGCTCGTGCAGGGGGCCGCAGCAGGCAGTCAGGCCCAGCAGCAGCAGGGCAAGGCCCGCGCCCGCGGTGCGCGCGCGAGGGCGCGCGGGCGCGGCTGGTGAGGCCGCTCCTGAGGCACGCTCTGCCGGTGGGCCTCTCCGGGAGAGGTCGCCGGCGCTTTCGCGCCCGCAGCCAGTGGCGGTCGGCTCGGGCATGGCGTTTGGTCCTCAGCCCCCCGACGACCGCCCTCGCGATCTGCTGCCCTTCCCGGGCGGGCGGGTCCTCGACGAGCTGCTCCTCGGCGCGGCGGGCGGCGGGCTCTCCGCAGCGGGCAGGCGGAAGGCCGAGCGGCGCCGGGGCGAGGAGGTGACTCCGCGCGGGCCTGGACGCGCTGAGCGAGCTTGGCGGCGGCGGCAGGGCGTCCAGCGATGCCCGAGCGACCGCCGCCCAGGCTTGGGCGGTGCGCTCCCTGGCCAAGCTCTATGGTGGGCGCGGACCTCCACCGGCTGACGTTGACCCCCTGGGAGCATGGGAGGTGCCCCAGGGTAGCGGCGGCGGCTACGTCGACTCGAGTGTGGCCGACAGTTTGGATGCAACCTATATGCCAGCCTGGCAGGATCTCCCTGCTGCAGTCACGGGCTGGGGCTGCGCCGCTGTGCGACGTGGTCCCAGACGGCTTGCAGCGCGTGCTGGCAGAGGGCAGCGGCCGTCTCCGCGATCCCGCGGAGGTACAGGCGGCGCTGCACGAGCTCTGGCACGCCATGGCCTTGGACCCTGCGCTGAGGCTGAGGGGCTTCATGTGCGGGCGCTTCCTGGCGGAGCTCCTGGATGAGTCCATCCTGGAAAAGGCCGCCGTCGTCAAGGAGACCTCGGGGGCCTTCTTCGTCAAGCGCAAGGACAGCTTGCTGAGGCTGGTCTTTGACGCGCGACGGAGCAACTGTCACTTTGCTCCTCCTCCGTACACTTCGCTAGCCAGCGGTGAGTCGCTGGCGGACCTCGAGGGCGAGCCTGCGGCAAGACTCTGGGTGGCGTCCGCCGATATCGAGGTCTGCATCTACCAGTGCGAGCTGCCCGCCAGCCTTCGGCCCCTCTTCGTGCCCCCGCCGATTTTGGCGCGCTACCTGCCCGCCGTGTGGCGCAAGAGGCTGGGGCTCGCAGAGGGCGACGTCGAGTGCGCCTTCCAGGCGCGAGTCGTGCCAATTGGCTGGTCGTTGGCGGTGCACTATTCAGATAGCTCGCGAGCACCTGCTGTCCGCGCGTGCACCCTCAGCCCCGTGGGCGAGGGGCGAGGTGCTGGTGACGCGCGCGTGCGAGGGCCCCTCCAAGCTCTGCTACGTCGACAACCTGGCCGTGATCTCCGACAGGGAGAGCGAGGCCGTGAACGGGACCGCCCACATGCTGACTACGCTCGAGGGCGCGGGCGTGAAGGCTCACCTGCACATCCCCGACCCGAGCTCGGGATCGCTGGAGTTGCTGGGCTTCGAGCACGTGGCGCGCCAGCAGCTCTGGCGGCCCACGCCCAGGAAGTTGTGGCGAGTGGCCAAGGCCCTCGAGCGCGTCTCGCAGGCAGGGGCCACCCCATCGGGCCTTGAGCTGGAGCGCCTCATCGGGCACCTCGTCTCCATGATGATGCTGCGCCGCGACCTGTTCTCCGTCCTCTCCGCTGTCTACCATATCAGCCGGAAGCTGGGGCGCAGCCGGGCGCCCCTGTGGCCCAGCGCGCGGCGGGAGCTCCGATGGGCGCACGCCCCGCTGCCCGCCATCGTGGCCCGCTCCGACCTGCAGTGGCTGCCGGTGGTCACCGCCTACGATGCCCTTGAGTGGGGGCTGGGTGTCGTCGAGGGCCTGCGGGGCGTCGCTGACGTGGACCGCGTGGGGCGACTGCGCGAGCGCGCTCGTTTCCGCGGCCTGCTCGCCACCGCGGGAGGCAGCCGCCGTGCGCACGCTTTGCATGATGAGGAAGAGGTTTTGAGGATGCCCGACGCTGCGGCCCTTCCTTCTTCCCGGGAGGCATGCCCGCTTCCAGGAGGTGCCTCGCGAGCTGCTGCTAGGCGAAGGGTGGGCCGCAGTGGCCTCCCGCGCCTTCCGCCGGCCAGATTCAATTCGCAATCTGGAGACGGCAGCCCTCACTTGGTGCGTCCGACGCACAGTTCGCCCCCTCCATCGTCATCGCAGTCGCGCTCTCTACGCTGGGGACAACACGTCGGTCACGTGTGCTGCTTGCAAGGGGAGAGCTGCGGTATTCTCGCTCATCGCTGCCTGCCGCGGGTGGGCCGCCAGTCACATTGCCGCCAGCATCCGCCCCTCCTTCCGCCGGTGCCCTTCGGAGCTGATTCCTAGCGACTCGACTGCGAGACGAGGGCTTCGGATGCCGGGCGCGCGGCCCGCGCCCGCGGGCTGCCGTGGAGGCCGGCCAGGCCCCAGCTGAGGCCCCGCCGTGCGCGGCCCACCGGCAGACGAGTCGATCGCCAGAGGCGCGGCCCCAGAGGACCCGCAGCGCCGAGGGGGCTGTCGGGCTGGACCGCGCCGAGGGCGCTGGGCTGGAGGCTCGCTCACGCCTGCCGCCGCGGCCCGGGCGGCCGACGCGCGGCCCCGGGGCGCGACGCCCTCCGCGCTCGCCCCCCGCGCCCTCGCTCGGGCCCGCCGCCGAGGCCGACATCGAGCGGCTGGCGCCGCGGCTGTCAAGGCTGGCGCGGAACGGCGCGTGGCCCCCCTCGCAGGTGCAGCGCGCGCGGGCGCTGAAGGAGCTCGCCGGCCAGCTCGCAGTCATGCCGCTGCCCGAGGGGGCGGCCAGCGCGTGGGGCGAGCACCTGGGCGACTTCCTGTCGGTGCTTTTCCATGGCGGCGGCGGCCCCCGCGCCGTGCGGTCCACGTTCCCGCTGACCTATAGACCAGGCTGAAGCAGGGTGGGCCCGCCTGCGACCGCCCCAGTCTCGGCCGCCGATCCTTGGCCGGTGGCCGCAGGCCTCGCCGGGTCGCTCTTTGCCCACAGCAAGCTGCTGATGGGCCTCCTCATCGTCCTGCTGTTCGCCACCCTCTGCCGGCCGGGCGAGGGACTCGCGTTGCTCGGGAGGCGGGTCATCAGGCCGATCGCCGGGATGCCCGGGGTCTTGGGCCAGGTCATTATCGTTCTCCATTCAGACGACCTCGGGGCGCCCTCCATGACAAACCGCGGGGACTCCTACGTGGCCCTGGACCTCCCCGAGCACCAGTGGGTCGGCCGCGCTCTGCTCAAGCTGAAAGAGCAGCGAGCCCCACTTCAGCACCTGTTCCCGATCGCGTACTGCGAGCTCTTGGCAGAGATGAAGAGGGCCGCAGTGGCCGTGAGCTGCGAGGTGCTGCGCCCAACGCCCCACGGGCTCCGTCACGGTGGAGCCAGCCTCGACAGGGCGCTCGGACGGAGGTCCTGGGGCGACACCCAGTGGCGGGGCAAATTGCGACTGCCTCTCGGCGACCAGCGCTACGAGACGCACGCCGGGATCATCGAGCAGTTCGCGAGGCTCGACCCGCGCGTGCTGCTCGACCTCCAGTCCCGCGAGGCGCGCTTGCCAAGCGCCTGCGGAGCGAGCTTCGGGCGGCCTTGAGACAGGCCCGCCCTCGCGAGGGCAAGGTCTTCTTGGAGGTGTTCGCTGGCACAGGTCACCTGAGCCAAGCCCTCCGCAGACGCGGCGCCGCTCTCATGAGCATCGACGTGCGACGCGGTCCGGATCGCGACCTCAGGGCGCAAGAAGTCTTCAACGTCGCCAAGGGCCTCTTGTGGGGGTTCTGGCTGGGGACTCTGGCTTCGTGCGGGAGCTCTGGCTGGGGGCTCCTTGCAGCCGCTTCTCCCGCGCCAGGCGGGCGCCGGCGGGCTCGCGGGTGCCCACGGCCCTGCGGTCACCACAGCAGCCCCGCGGCCTCTCGGGACTCCCGCCGCGGGGCGCTGCCAAGCTTGCCGAGGGCGACGCTCTGGCCGACCGTGCTGGGCAGCTGGCCCGCCTGGCGCTGGGGCGCAAGATCCCCGGCGGCGAGGAGAACCCTGCCCAGTCCTTTCTCTGGGCGCTGCGCTCGAGGGAGCGCTTCCGTGCCCAGCCAGACGCGTTCGACACCGTCATCGACTACTGCGCCTTCGGTAGAGACTTCCGAGCCCGCACCCGCCTGCGCCTTTGGCTCCTCCCTGTCCCCGTCCTCTTCTTGAGGCCAAATGCTCGGGGCGCGGGGTTTGCTGTTTTCCTGGCCGGCCACGCGCCCAGCTCTCAGGCGAGGCCCGCGGGGGGCCCTCCTTCCGAACTGCTCGAAAGAAGAAGTGCCCTCCGCAGTTGCGCCGTATCCTGGCCAGTCTGTTTTGCAGCTCTAGGATGAAAGGTCGGGCCATCAATCTCTGGGCAAGAATGAAGCGACGGCGCCATGAGGCGCCAGCTCAGTGTTGAATGTGGGAATCTCTGTGTACTGGTCGAGCTTAGCAGCGCGCCTGCTCGGCGAGAGAAGCGTCGCGTCGCGCATCGGCTTCGGCAAAGTTCTGGCGAAGAAGGGTGGCGATATTCCGTTGCCTACGTTTTTCGTTTCTGATTCGCCGCGCACTCCCATCTCAATAGTTTTTTTTTCTGGCCCCACCCATCCTCCCTCAGAGGTCTATGGCGCAGCGGGGTCGAGCTAAGCAGCACGCCTGCTCGGCGAGAGAAGTGTCGCGTCGTGCATCGGTTTCAGCAAAGTTCTGGCGAAAAAGGGTGACGAACATGTTTCTCTATCTCGGGGTAGGCCCGGGGGTTGCGGGCCGCTGCTGTTCCCCCCATCGGTGCCCGCCAGGGGTTGTTGGGGGGGTCCAGAGCTCCCGAGGCGGCCCGGGCCCGCCCCGAAACAGGCCACGACAAGCTAAGGGGATCCTGGGGACGGCTTAAGACGCTCCCCAGAGGCCCCGAAGACGCCCAATATGGCCTCAAGACAGCCGACGAGGACTCCAGCGCGCTCCAGGACGGATTCGAGAGGCTCCTCAGGGCCCTGGGAGGCAAGATTCATTAATTTTCCGAGTGTTTTGGATTTGGGCGTTCTCGCTTCTCCACCTTCCCAGCGCTCCCACACGGCCTTGGAGGCCTCGCGGCCCACGAGGCCCCGAACAGCGCCCAAAGACGGCCCAGGAGGCTCCCCAGACAACCCAAGTGTGCCCCAAGAGAAGGCCCAGAGGGATCCCTAGGCGGCCCGGGCCCGCCCCGAAGCAGGCCACGACATGCTAATGGAGGTCCCGAGAGAGGGCCCAAGACGCTCCCAAGAGGCCCCGAAGACGCCCAAGATGCCCTCAAGACGGCCGACGAGGACTCCAATACGCTCAAGGACGGACTCGAGAGGCTCCCTAAGAGGGCCCTGGGAGGCAAGATTCGCTCACTTCCCTATGGTGTTTGAAGGATTTTGGCGTTGTCGCTTTCCACGGCCTCGTGGGCCCTTCAGATCGCTCCAAGACGCCCCACGAGGCCACGAAGAGGGCCCCATGACGGCCCAGGGGGCTCCCTAGGCAACCCAAGTGTGCCCCAAAAACTTCCCAAGAGGGGGCCCAGAGGGGGACCGCCAACCGATGCTTCGAGGTCTCTGGTCCTAGAGGCCGCCAGTAGGCTCCCAGAGGCTACCAAGAGGCTCCAACGAAGCCCCGTGAGGCGCCCAAGAGGTCCCCAGGAAGCCCCAAGAGACCCCCTAGGGGCTCCCAGGGAACGCCCAAAAGGCCCCCCAACACACACCCCAAGAAATCATGCCCCCAGAAAACCTTCCAGGGACATGGGTTCATCATGGGCCCGCGAGTTCCACTGGCCCCCAAGGGGCCCCCAGGGAGCGCCCAAGATGCCCCCCAACACACCCGAACAAACCATGTCTCAAGAAAGCCTTCCAGGGACATGGTTCATCATGGGCCCGCGAGTCTCCGGAGGCTTCGAAGTACCATCATGCTACAGGAGAGCTGTTTGGGAAGTTGACTGGGAGCATGACTGATCGCCCTCTCGCGGCCCTCCGCAGATCGTTTCGCGCAAAGTGCCCCCCCTCTCGGACCGACGACGACGACGACTACGAAACGACGAAGACGAGGACGAGGACGACGACGACGACGACGACGACGACGACGACGATGACGACGACGACGACGGCGCGCCCCAAGAGGCGACGACGACATTACGACGACGACGGCTGCACGCCCTTACAGGTTCCCCAAAACGCCCCCCAAACCCATGCTGCCAGAACGCCTTCTGGGAGCCCGATTCATCCGGCCTCCGCCCTCCTACGCAACAGTTTTCCCGGAAGCCTTTCGGAATGCGGGTTGGCATGCGTGGATTGTGGTCCATTACTTCAGTGGAGCAGTGAATTCGTCAAGGCCTGGGGCCTTACCAGAACCTGAGCGCGCGCGAAGCACGCGCGATGGTTCTAGTATATATATATATATATATATATATATATATATATATATATATATATATATATATATATATATATATGTATAGATATATACTGGTATTATTGTGGTGATCGTTGGTGTATCGAAAGAGCCCTCTCGGGGACGAACTGCAGGCAGTTCCGGGACCTCTTGGGGACCGTCTGGCGGCCTATTGGAGGCCTCCAGGGGGCTTCATGAGGTTCCTTGAAAGCATCTTGGGGTCTCCTGGGGGCCCCTTCGGGCGGAAGGCTGGAATTGTCGATTCGTGTTCCCCCTCTTGGGCCTCTCTTGGGGCCGTCTTGGGGCTCTCTTGGGCTGCTTTGGGCGCCTTTTGGGCCGTTGTTGGGCTGTCTTGAGGCGTCTAGGGACCTTCTTGGGGGCCTCTTGGGCCGTATCGGGGCTGTCTTGGGGGCCCCAGGGGCCGTCTTGGCGCGTCGGAAGCTCGAGAAGGGGATAACGTGAAAAGCATACAAACAATGAACATCATTG